TCACATTCTCCAATTCTCTTGGCCTTTTCTTCCGACCATGATCGCAAGCCAAATATCGATACGGCCGACCATCGGTGGTTTTTTTGTACGATGATGAGACGAATAGAATTCAAATTGGCCAGGCAATTTCTTTCGCCCATTCAACAGCAACATCATAACTAGGAAACACTGTATCGGTTTGAAAGTGGCCACTATAATTCACACCATCACCACAGTTTTCTGGTTCCGTATCCTATATAAAAAACCACAAAACAAACTACTTAAGAACCCATATAATAATAATAATAATAATAATAATAATAACAACAACAACAACAATAATTAAATATTAATAATAATTAAATATTAATAATAATTAAATAATATAATAATAACTTATTTAATAATAATAAACAACATAAATACAATAATAATAATAATAATAGTAATAATAATAATAGTAATAATAATAATAATAATAATAGTAGTAATAATAATAATAATAATAATAATAATAATAATAATAATAATAATAATAATAATAATAATAATAATAAGTAGAAACGCCTGAAATGTTTGAATGTACCATGGAAGAAACACCTGAAAATTTAGAATCTACCGTGGAACATTCTAAAATTTTAGGTGTTCCTACCATGGTTCGCCTGATATTTTAGTATGTCCCAAGGTAGATTCTAAATTTTCAGGCGTTCCCATGAACATTTGAAAATACAATGTGAGGAACGACTGCTATTTTTGAATCTACCATGGGACATACTAATATATCAGGCGATCCATGGTAGGAACGCCTGAAATTTGAGAATGTTCCATGGTAGAGTCTAAATTTTCAGGCGTTTCTCTGGCGATTACGAAATAAAAAAAAAACGACAAAAACTCATCCATATGTACAGGCGACCACTCCGGTGGCGTCATCAATTCCGCTAACTCGTCCATTCACCGCTTGTGTAAATCGTTTTTGAATAAAGGTTTTTTTTTCTTTTTTTGAAATAATGACGTGGAGTGGTGGATGGTGGCTGGTGGTTGTCTGGTGGCGGTGGATGATTGGTGGCTGGTGGGGTAAAAATAAAATAGGGTAAATTTATAAGGGGTAAAAGTAAATAAGGGTAAGAGTAAATTAGGGTAAAATTAAAAGGGGGTATGTTTGTAATGTCGAGTTAAAATACGAACGTTACCCGATAAATACCAAATGCGATTTAGCAATTCACAATAAAAATTGAAGTTGGATAGGACAGTGAAAAGCAAGTTGAGACGTACATATCATAATTTAGAGATGAAGGTTGAAGATAGTGATCTGATCTTGAAAAGTTGAGATAGGACTCTGGATGATTTTTATAAAGATTTTTTTTTAATGGAGAGAGGATGAGTCATGATTGTGATGTTTTATATTATTATACTCACTCCGTCCAATATATAGTTTTTGTTTGTATTTTTTCACCGTATTTAAAAAATGGAATGAGAAAGTAAGATGAAGTATATTAAATGTGGAAAAAAGCTAGATAAAAGTTAGACAAAAGTACAAGACAGTGGATAATTTAAGAGGAAAAAAGTGAAAAGTATAATCATAGACAAAAGTTAGAGAGAGAAAGTAGAAAAAATACAAAACAAGTGGATAATTTAAGGATAAATTAGAAAGTTCAATAAATAAAGTTAAAAATATGAGGGTATAATGAGATTTACATACCATCTAAAAATAGAAACAGAAACAATGTGACTCCAAAATAGAAAAGCAGGAACTGTAATATGAGACGGAGGGAGTATATTTTTATTACAAGCATCTTAAATTTTATTTTTTATTTTATTTTGCCATTGAACTCCATATTTTATTTTAAAATTACACAGTTTAAAGCTATCAATTTTGTTTCTTGCATTTCTACTACTCTACTCCAGAATCTTAACAAAGTTTGTTTAAATCATATTATTCCTATTTATTACTACCCATGTTTCACAAATATGTAAACACTTACTCCCACTATTCTCTTAAAGATTATATTCATTCCTTTTTTGGTAAACTTGTGTTTTGAGACTTTTTGACACATATGTCGGTGAAATAATTGCAGTGTTTTTAGAATGGAGCTGCACTACTACTAAAATTTAAGCCTTGCTCACTTCACCTTGAATACGTAGTAATACTCTATAATATTTAGCAAAATTATTCATTTTAGTAAAAATAATTGCAATCCAAAAACTATAAGTAACTTTAAAAAAGAAATGTAATAGAGAATCATTAAAAAATAATTTCAATTCAACAAAAAATAATTTCAGCGTAGTATAAATAATTTCAGTTCAGTAAAATTAATTTCAATACTGTTAAAATGATTTTCAATTCAGCAAAAAAAAATTTAATTCAATAAAATAAGCTGAAGTAAACAAAGCTTAGTGTAATTATTGCATTTTTTTTTTTTTTTTTTTTTTTGAGGGATGTCAAATGTACAAAATGGATGAAAACTCCATTGGGCAAAAAGTCAATAATGGGAGTGGTAGTGGATGACAGGAATCAACCCAACTCAATCACAGTTCATTTTGGAGCTTTCCATTCGTACCGTTTAAGGGACGGTCCACTTAGCTCACTTCCATGGGTCCCACTTCACCTTTACTGTACACGTGTCTTCTGTCTGAGTCTATATCCACGTGTCACGTAATAATAGGATATAAAACACAATACTTGCGACGTCGTTTTCTTCATTTTTTTTTCTATTGTGCCAATTTGGGAAATTCGTTTTCATTCGAATGAAATACGATAGGAATAATTGGATATTCCTAGATTTATTTATTTATTTATTTATTTATTTTGACGAGGATTGGTTTTGATATTTTTTTGACTTTTGTTAATAAAGAAAACAAGGCCGTCTAATTTTAATTGTAAAAAAAATATTACTACTATGACATTGTTATGATTGTTTAACACTTTGTACATTGACTTTTAAATTTAAAAAAATTACTCCTTCAATTTCTTATGTTTTTCACGTTTGGAATTATGCGCAGTTATTAAAATTGTAATACAAGGGTAATTTTATCCAAAATTTATGACTAAAAAAGAAAAGATACTAAATGTAAAGAATAAAAAGAGACACTCAAAATGGAAACGTAAAACACAAATAGAAACGGAGAGAATAACATCTTTCTAACATTTTCTCAGCAAATTAAAATCACCAATTATATCCTCATACTGTAAGTTAAAAACATCTTAAGGAAGACATATATACAACTAAAGCTTGATTAGAAAATAATTACATTAAATAAGAAATTAAAAGCAGTGACAATATGAAAATAAAGGTTGCTAACTTATTGTACTTATTGATTGCATTACGAAGAACGGGAGAATTATTTTTTTACTTAGACAATGAAATTGTTTATGTAGCTTTAATTAAACCTTGTAATAGACGACCTTGAATCCTTGATTGAATTAAATTCATAATGGTTTTCCCTTAAAAAGTTGGTTATATATGATGATGTATTTGTAAATCTCAAAAGAAAAATTTTAAGCGGCCTCAGAGGCGGAATCGGGGGGGGGGGGGGGCTTGGGTAGGCCATGACCACCCCCTTGATTTTGTATAATACATATTTGTATGTAATAGAGACGATGCTTGTTAGCTAGATCAGGTGGTCAAACTTGCAAGTGAGATCATTTCTCTGCATTCTTGGCAAGGTTTGAAGCTTACTGTATTCATTTTTTACCGCTTTTTGTTATTTATAATAAATTTTACTCCTGCATTTCACATTTACTAGTATTTCACATATGCTTAAGCCACATGACTCCTATAGTCTTATTAAAGTAGAATGTTAAACTTACTTTTACTTTTTTCAAACTTTCTTTTGCAAACACTGCATTGTTTTTATTTGTTTTTGTAGAGGGTCCAATTTTTTATTTATTAATGATTTTTTTTTTAATTATATAGAGATTAAAGTAAGTAAAGTTGATCTTGGCCTCCCTAATGTATTATTTCTGGTTCCGCCACTTAGCGACCTTCATTTTTAATTACTTGTAACATGTAGGTTTGAATTTAATTTAGAAAATTTATGGGTAGTGAATGAAAATTAATAAGTTGATAAATTGATGTACTTTTGTTTGCATGTGAGACAAAAAAGATCGATTGAAATTAATACAAATGGAGTTAATAAAACTAATAGTGATTTCAAATTATATTCATAAATGGATAGAAGAGAGTCAAATATTTCAAAAATTTAAGAACATATATACATACAATATAAGTTTATAAATTCACAACAAAATAATACATATCAAACACCTCTCTCCACTCATATCACAAGCATTATTGAGCATAAACGAACAAAATAACTACCTTCAATGAATGTATTGCCTTAAATTTAAAAGTTCATGTCACAACCATACAATTTAACATGAAAACCTTGATAACTCGAAACAAAATTATCCAATCTAAAGGTGAATTAAATTAAGCATATAACTAACAAAGATGAAATGATTTGATTATTCTAATTTTGTTTTCAATAAAAACACTTATTGATTGCATGTAGCTATGCATATTTCATCTACCCCTTGTTAGATTCACAATCTTTATTTAGGTCAATCCAAATAAAATTTACTCTCATATAATTTTATCAAGTGTTCTTTCCACATTTTAAAATTGTATAATATTCGACTCTATTCTTGTAATTTGTGCAAAAAAGCAATCAATCTATCATTAGCCCCAATATCACAATATGACAAAAGAGTATTCTAGAACTATCTAATAATGATAAAGGAGTAGCAAAAAACTAAATCAATATAAAATCTAAGCAATTCCTTAACCAAAAAAAAGAGAAAATCTGAGTAAAACTCGGATTCATTCACATTTACCCCTATTAAAAAGGAGTTTCACTTGCAAAAACTATCTTTTTAACGTTTTTCTTTTCTCTCACCATTCAAAAAATAAAAATAAAACTAAAAGGTTGAATATTATTCTCCTTATTATCAACATCACTAAATAATAATTTTTATCAAAAAAAAAAAAATCATTAATTTTATAATAAACACAAATTCACTTTTTTTTTCTCTTCAATTAAAAAGAAAAAAACAAACACAAAATTTCACAAATATACAAAAATGCAAATTGCAACAAAAAGAAGAGGGAGAAAAGGTGGGGGCATAAATTGCTAAATTTTTTGTTTTAACGAATTCTTTCATTCATCCCAAAAGTATTTCCTCAATATTCATTGATTCTCTCTCCTCCTTCATTCACCCAACGGCTGATTTTCCCCAATTCAATTCCAATCTCAATCAATTTCTCTCCTCAATTAGGGTTTCAAATTCATCGGAGATTCTTCAATTGATTACAAGTGGAAACCGAATTAACCGGACGATCGCCGGCAGAGGTGATGACTTTTGTCGGCAATGATGACAACAACGACGTCATCGCAGTACCGGAGCTGACAACGTTAAGAGTCTCCGACAAGGATGAGTTTTACGTTAATTTAGTTCAGTACGAGGAGGAGGAAGAAGAGGGTGATTCAATGGTGGAGGATCATTGTTTGTCGGAGCCTTCAACACCCAGAATACGGTGTTGTTTCATCTGTAAATGGATTAAATTTTTCTTATTGTTCGTTTTTTTGGGTGGTCTTGCTCTTGTTGTTTTCAAATGGCTTGGACCCTTTGCAATGGATAAGGTATACGATTTTTCTTTTATTTTTTCCTCTGATTTTTGTTTTTTTTTTTTTATTTTTTTTTATTTTTTATTTTATATGTCAAATTGGGTATTTTTTATTAGATTATTGGAATTCTGTGTAAGAATTTGCTTACAATTTATTGTTGTTGTTTGATTCGATTTGTTGCTAAATTTGTCAGCTCAACAGAAGATTTAGCTGATTTACTTTTTTCTTTCTTTGCTCCTTTTCTTTAAGATAAGATTTTCATCTCTGGGAATTCTGGGTGTAATTTTTATAATTTTTTATGTGCTAAGATTATTATATTACTCCGTACTTTTTATGTGGTATGATTATTGTTGCAATTATAGTTTAATTATATCCGTACTTTGGAGTTTTGTTCTTTAATTGTTGGAAAGAAAAAAACCTTAATCCGAGTTTATGAGGTCTATATGTACACAAACTTAACCTTAGCGGCTTAGTCAGCTCAACAATAGTAGAGAGGCGGTTTCAAAAGGAAGAAAACAACCTGAATTCGAGTTTATGGGTCTATATGTACACAAACTTAACCTTAGCGGCTTAGTCAGCTCAATCATAGTAGAGAGGCGGTTTCGAAAGGTAATGGATGAACAAAAGAGGTGGATTTATATTGGGTAGTGTTGTGATTTGTTCTCGCACTAGTGTGTGACTGATTGTTCATAACTTTTTGATCTGCAAACCGAAGAGCGTGTAAACAAGATGATGAATTGATTTTGGGGAGAGGTTCTAGAAGTATAGAACTGGAAAGGAGATTCAGACTAGGATTTGTACGAAAGGAATAATAATTACGTGTGTGAGTTAAATACAAAGATAGCAGCATAGTGCCATAGCTGCGATTTTGAATGTTGTTTGTTCCATGATCATGTTGATGAATCGTCAATTTTATTAGCAAGTGAAGTGTCAGGGCTTGCAGTAGGAGAAGAGGCCCCTGGAAGTAAGTAGTTGATAAGATACAAGATACATACTCAAGGCGCTACAGTGTTTGGAATGAATTTGGATATCGATCATGTTGGTTGGTGTTTACGGCTGAAAAGAGAGAGAGAGAGGGGGGGGGGGGGGGGAGACAGCACCACAGGCTGGAAAAATAAGGAACAAGAAGGGCTGCTTTCATATTCTTCAGCTATAGTTTTTTTTTCTTTTTGAACAGATATTCTCTGGTATGTGTATTGAACATTTACAATAATTGCATAAACTTGGTGATAATAATTATAAAAAATGTTACAATTAGGAAAAGCCTTGGTGACATTCTTTTTCCTAGTAGCGTTACAACATGTTTTCGATCATTGATGTGGAAATTACTGTACATTCCTTATTGTTTGAGTTCTTGCACCTTATGTTCTCACAAAGATAAATATTTTCCTCTGCAGGGAATAATTCCTATTCTAAACTGGGAGAGAACTTCATTCAGTACCCCTGTTCTGGCACTTATAATCTTTACTTCTGTAGCATTGTTTCCTACCATTCTCTTGCCATCATCCCCTTCCATGTGGGTGGCTGGGATGACTTTTGGTTATGGATTCGGCTTCCTATTAATTATGCCAGCTGTGTTCATTGGTGTTTCTCTGCCATACCTTATTGGTTCCCTCTTCTACCACAAAATTCAAGTAAGTATTGGCTGTAACATTGGATATAAATCCAAAATATACTTAAAAATGGAACTTTTCTTGTATCATTGTATGTCATTTTTGTATCTAATGCTTTCTCATGCTTGAACAGAGTTGGATGGAAAAGTATCCAAAGAGAGCTTCTATCATAAGACTAGCTGGTGAAGGAGAATGGCTTGATCAATTTCGTGCTGTGTCGTTGATAAGAATTTCTCCTTTTCCCTACATCATATACAATTACTGTGCTGTAGCAACAAATGTCAAATATGGGCCATATATTTTGGGGTCAGTGCTGGGAATGGTGCCTGATGTTTTGGTTGCAATCTACACGTAAGTTATTTCTTTGGCTGTCTAGGAATTTTGCTTTGTTTTGGTTGTATAAAGAGGTCATTTTCCTTGGAAATCATTCTTGCATCTTTGTTTCACTGTATTATGTTTTTGTATGCTGCTTCATCTCCATGAATTATGTCTCTCTATTTGCAGGACTTCTTTCTATTTGTTTCAGTTATTGGATTTTCAAATAAATGATTGTATAGAAAAATGGTAAACCTCAGTGCATTTGGCAAAGAGAGCTAAGGGACACAATTTGCGTGTGTGTGTGTTTTTTTTTTGGGGTAATAGTAACCTTAGCTGATATCATGACACTTGCTTCAGTTGCTAACAGATCCAACACTTTGATGACTAACTAGCATACTTAACATTGGACTAGTTATTCCCCAAGTCTCAAGTTAAGTGGGAAGGTTTTTAAGGTTTGTATCAATTTCGGCTGTCATGTTACAGGAATGTAGTACTCATAATAAGTCTATTGTGGGCCGTCAAAATTTAAGGAACTACTCTTCCGAAAACATGATAATTTTCAATCATTTATCTCCTTGCAAACTTGCCCTAGAATAGCTTTCAGCATTTTTTAGAATTTGATGATGATTCCATGGTAGCAAGTACCAAGTCAGAAAATTTGGGGTTAATAACAATGGTTCTGCTGTCACAGTTTAGGGAGGTCATGATGTAGGCAACCTTACTAGTAACCATTTTAGACCACTATATTGTGGTTTGTAACCCGTATGAATAGAAGTGCAAATTAATGGCTTCCTTACGTGAATAATGTTTTGGTACCAATACCAGGCCAGTATATGGCTATCTGGCATAGCCGTCTGCTTAATTTTGATGCCAATGTTCATTTATTGAATGGTTTGCCATTTTTAATGCCAGCATACAAACATATTTAGTCCCTTTGATGCAGAGATAATTCTTATTGTGTATTGCTCCAATCTCAACAGATTTGATTGGAATTACTGTCATGTATGTTTGAATGCATAAAGCATAAAAGTGTTTGGGATGGTGTACTGTATCCATGGGAAAGTCTATCCTCAAGCTATTCATTAAACAAAAGGGCATGGTTGATCTTACTTACATCTGGCTTTTTGACTGATGTTAAATGTGTTTGAGATACTTGTAGTATTTAAGACACTAACTTGCAAATTTATTGACTATTATTAGATGATTTATGTCATGCAGTAATTTTATGTTTAACCTTTTATGGTTATCATTACCTGTTATCTTCAATTGTAGTAATTTTATGTTTAAACCTACTGTTACCTTTTATGTTAAAACCTTTATATGGAAATTCTTGTAGGAAAAAATGATTTTACTGTAAACAAACATCAATAGATTCACTATACTGTGTCAGATTGTTAAAAAGATGATTTGTGTGTCACATGGGTGAGATTATATTCAAGGTGTTACTTTGCCCTGATTTTATGAGGGTAAGAGTTGAGTGGGGGTGTACTTTAGGAGGAACACATTGATTATCTAGGTGCTTGTTGTCATGTGTTTAGGTGCATAAACAATATGTTATGCTTGCTCTTTTTTAGTTACATTTCTCTTTTTTAAAGTAAGATTGCAGAATATTTTAGTCAGATGTATTTGAATGCTAGCGTATGTGGTGTTGGCACTTGGCAACACTTGTATAGAGTCTAATATTCATATCTTTCGAACGAGTCCACTCCAGAGGAAAGTAGATCTTTCAAACTCTACTCCATGTCCAAATGATCTGATTGAGATATTGTTGGTGATCTTTATCCTCTAAGGTGGCCAGGCTATATGGCCCTTTAAGTCCATGAACCAGTATGCAAAATAAGCCTACTTTTTATTGTGAGGTTGTCATGAGTTCACCATTATCTTATGTGAGCTCAGCATATGTTTATTGTGGGCTTAGACACTGCTGCATATATGTACTTCAGTGTAGCAATCATGTGGATATTATAGCTTGCAAGACTGCTCAAGGCTGGAATTATTAAATGTGGTGTGCGATTTAATAGACACTGGAATTATAATAGACACTGCTAAAAGGCTGGATAAAATAGACAATGCTCAAGAAGATGAGTCACTCTCAAAGGCTGGAATTGGTTTCATAGTCTAGAAATGGTTTCATAGTCTTTGAGTGACTCATCTTCTTGTAATTGGTTTCACAGTCTTCCAGTGAAAGAAATAGTAAATTCAGCTTTTACCTGTTTGTTAAAAAGGACTTCTATCATCTCATGAAGATGGGTCTGGGAATGAAGGGAGATGTGAAGTTCTTATCAGATTGATAGAAAAGAAATTGTCTAGAGGATTTTGAAATTGATGGGTAGATTTTAGTTTTACAGCCTTTTGACTCTGCTAAATCCAGCTTTACAGATGAGCTTGCTGCCGATTTGGTGAATGTCATCTTATGCCTTCTTTGACCTTCTGTTTTTCTTTGTCCTGAATTCTTTTTTTCTTTATAGTCTTTATTCGATTATTCCAGGTCAGTTCATGCACCAAGTAGCAGAATGAGACTAATGAGACTTGTATTTCTTTATATTTTTGCAGCGGTATCTTGATCAAGACATTGGCAGATGCATCTGACACAAAACATTCACTCTCAGCACAAGAAATTATTATGAACGTTGTTGGGTTTGCTGCCACAGTTGCTACCACAATCATCTGCACGATTCTTGCAAAGAGACGGCTCAAGACAATGCCAATTGAAGATGAGCCGCTTCTGCAGTAATTAACTTATTCTAACAAAGGGTTTGAGAGATTCCATGTGCCAGCATTTAATTGGTATTGTACAGTCGAGGGAGATTTGATTCTGGAGGATGACATACAGAGGATGGAGTCACGAAAGAGAAGACTCTGAACAACATAGTTGACCAACTACACTATCTGTTATAGATTCTTTTGCCGGAGATGGTATTCTTTGTTGTTCTGCCAGTGTCTTTGTGTTTTGATCTTCGTATGCTGCACCTCAAAAACTAATATTGTACATAACAGCACCTCTGCTATGGAGTTGCAGCATATTGATCATGTTTCTATCTTCTGTATCAACCACTCCTTGTCAATTCTATATATTTTTTTATCACGTGTCCAAGGTTTGGAGCCCATCTTTGTTTGCAGCTGCTCATATGTTGTTAAAAATCTAATATTACTATCGGAAGAAGGTATATATAAAATACGAGTTTTCTGAGAAACTACAACAGTGATGTTTATTATGAATTTATGACTGTATGGCTGTATGATAAGACTCGGGTTACTTAATATGTTGGTTAGCCTTTTAAGCAACTTGTGTGACTTTTTAGTGATGTAGGTGGCATCACATTCATGAAATGCGGTGTGATTAGTCACTGATCGACTTAGACCTGGATTTCGATCCAAAGCTGGTGGGGATGGGAGGCAGTGTGTATAAATCCAAGTATAGCTTGATGTGCGTATATTGGTACAACAAACACTAAAATGGTACCAAGTATAATTCTGGGTTATATAATTTGGATTTGATGTATGGTACAAATAAACATTTCCCATGTTGCAGGTTTTGCAATGACATGTCAAAGGCAGATCATGCGCTGCTTAGCCTTATATTTGTAGCCGTTTGTGGTAGCAGCAAAGCTATATAAGAGATTCTGCGACAGGTAAAAAAACAAGGGGATATGAATATTATTGACGTACTATATGCAAGTCATGGCATAAATCTAGTGATTTATTCCAAGGATGGTGAGTTTATATTAAAATGAAAGAATAAAGACATGAACAATATAATTCTAATCCAAAGACTGCAATATAAGCTACAAATCCAAAGACGCGGTGGCTAAACGTGCCATAAGGAGTAGATAGACTTCAGCGTGAGCTTAGAAATGATTTTTAAGCAGTCAGATTTTAGCAGACGTTGCAAACCCTACTGTTCTTTCATTTGGCATGATGCTCGAATGGGTTGGATCACGAACCATTATCATCACTAGAAAAAGTCCGAACCCAAACCTAAGCAAACATGTCATTCATCAGACACAACATGCTCTAACGTTAAAATAAAAAAATTGCTCCAACTACACAAACTTTTCAGTTCTATCCGTTAAAAAGTGATTAGAAATTGTCTAGTTTTCTTGATTTGTTGATGTTGGGAAACGTTTTCCAGGGTAGAATGGTTGAATATGTTATATGTATTTCTAGTTTCCTACCCCTTATAAATCTATTGTTAAAAGAAGGAACAAGTGAACAACCCCTTTTAAATGTACTACAGCTGATAAAATTACTATTATCCTTCATGTTATATAAAATGTCAAACACAGCATAACGGCCAAAAAGATACAGTATAGGCTTTCACAGTGTATGAATATAAAAATTTAATAGTGCTTGATGGCCTTGATCAGTAAAGTCTGAGATTTTTATAATATGACTTACTATTGTAATTTACAATTGTCATGGATTATTGCGGGAGATGGTACAAAGATGTAAATGAGCCAAATCAAGCCGATTCTATTCTTCCTCAGATGTAAGGCAGAACATAGACGGTTTTCTGTTAAATTAATCACAAACTCTGCAAAATATTCACTGTCATTTCTCCTTCCACTTCATGACCACAATACAAGTATATATAACAATAGGGTTGACATTACCCTAATATTCCACAATATTCTACCATATTTTTACATAAGATATTCCCCCAAAATATATCACAATAATATCCTAGTATAACAATAATATCCTAGAACATCTCCAATACCCCCCTCAAGTTGGAGCATACGGGTTATAGATGCCCAATTTGCAGAGTAAAAATTCAAACTTGACTTTTCCCAAAGCCTTGGTGAAAATGTCGGCCAACTGAACTGTTGCAGACACATAGGAAGGTTTGACGGTGCCTGTTGTAATCGCATCTCTCACAAAGTGACAGTCAGCTTCAATGTGCTTCGTTTGTTCATGAAAAACGGGGTTCTGCGCAATATACAATGCCGACTAACTATCACAATATAGGTGCATGCCACTCTCATGTCGCACACCTAAGTCTCCCAGAAGCTACTTCAGCCACTTCAATTCATAAGTCACTGTTGCCATCTAACGATACTCCGCCTCTACAGAGGATTGAGAAACTGTGTGTTGCCTTTTGGTTTTCCACGACACTGGGACAAACCTAGAAGCACGAACCAACCACTCAAAGAGCGTCTCGAAAGAGGGTAATGTAAGGGTAAATGTATTTAATTAATTAATAAAGTATGCTGTACAATATATTTATATACATAGCTAGCAACAGAGTACGTAAACTACACAAAAATAAACATGACTAAGATACAGCTATACACGCATAAATAGCAGAGGATAGAAGCAAGAGGCGTAGCTTATTCCTAGAATGTAGGCAGCAACTATATCATATTATGGAAGGATAATATTAGATTATTTTGTTGGCTTGTGATCCTTATCATGCCCCCGCAAGATTGACGGCAGATCAGTGAGTCCAATCTTGGTGAGGAGGATGTCTAGGCGCGGCCGTGACAGAGGCTTTGTTAGAAATCTGCAAGCTGATCTCTTGTCGGAACATGAACCACTCGCAAGGAACCTTGTTGCACCTGTTCCCGAATAAAATGATATGACACAGCTAGATGCTTCATCTTCGATTTGAATACTGGATTGGCACTAAGATAGGTAGCACTGAGATTATCATAGAAAATCACAGGAGTGCAGGGTAGTTTGATACCCAATTCAGTGAGCAAATTATGAACCCACATAATCTCCATTGTTGTTGCAGCAACTGACCTGTACTTGGCTTCAGTTGAGGAAGTAGTTAGGGAGCGTTGCTTCTTGGAGCACCAAGTGATGGGAGTGCGGCCGAGGAAGATGACATGACCCATGGTGGATGTGTAATCATCATGGTTTCCAGCCCAATCAGCATCTGAGAAGGCGTGGAGAACAGGTGATGCATCACGAAAGATTGTAAAACCCTTGTCAATTGTCCCACTCAAATACCGAAGTAGACGCTTAAGAGCAGTCCAATGGGCTGTTGTTGGGCAATGCATGAACTGGGATAATTTGTTGACGGCGAAGGCAACATTTGGTCTTGTGAGAGTGAGGTACTGTAAACTACCAAGAGCTGCCCTGTAGTCTTTGGGAGCTGCTAGTGGCGTGCCAGTTGTAGCGGTGAGGTGCTCAGTTAGGACCATGGGCGTAGAAGCTGGCTTCGAGTTTAGCATTCCCATCTTTTCCAGCATATCAAGTATATAACGCCTTTGGTTCAGGAATAAGCCGTGAGGTGTAGGCATGACTTCCACACCAAGGAAGTATGAGAGGTCACCTAAATCTTTCAAGGAGAACCTGCGAGAAAATTTCTGAACAAAGACATTAAGAAAGTCATCATTTGGGCAGCTGACTATAATGTCATCAACATACACAATTAGATAAATAGGTGTACTGGAGTGATGATAAATAAAAAGGGAGGTGTCGGTAACATAACGACGAAAATCGACTCCAAGGAGGTAGTTTGCTAGTTCTGTGTACCAGGCCCATGGGGCTTGCTTGAGGCCATAAATGGCCTTCTTTAATTTGCAAACATGGGTGGGATGCTGAACATCCGTAAACCCTGGAGGGTGGGTCATGTAGACCTCTTCATTAAGTGATCCTTGAAGAAAAGCGTTATTGATGTCAAGTTGGCGAAGATACCAACCATTAGAGACAGCAAGACTTAATATTTCCAAGCCTTTTGCAACGAGCCTAGCTTTGTATCTGTCTAGAGTGCCATCCTTACGGTATTTTATTCTGAAGACCCATTTGCATGTGACAATGTTGGATGCCGCAATGGATGGAGTGAGCACCCAGGTGCCTAGGCGATGTAGAGAAGCAAGCTCCTCTTCCATCGCATGCTTCCAGTTGGGGTCTTTCAAGGCTTGGACAACAGTTCGCGGTACTTCTGGCTTGGGCTGTGTTGTGGTGAGGTTGGCATATTTTAGGTTAGGTTTGGAAATATTGTTCTTGGAGCGTGTAATGATACCAGAAGGTGGTTGAGGGTGTGTAGAACGGTAGGCTCTTGGGATGGGGATGGTGAGGCAGTAGGAGACGCAGTAGGTGAAGGCATGGGCGAGGAAGTAGTAGAAATGGAGGTAGGAGTGTAGGAGTCGTGAGTGGCAGTGGGTATAGGATTTGTAGGAGGTTGGACAATTTGTAATGATAGGTTGCACCGGGCACTAGGATTATGTTGAGATGTGGCGGGGTTAGGTGGCAGCAAGGAGGAGTACGGGAATTCAGTTTCCACAAAGCGTACATGGCGCGAGGTATAGATGCGCTTTGTGATGGGATCAATACAGTGGTATGCACTTTGGGTTTTAGAATACCCAATAAAGATACAGGGCTTGGATTTGGGTTGTAATTTATGTGAGGTGTATGGTTTTAACCAAGGGTAGAACAAGAAACCAAAGCAACGTAGCTTGAGGTAATTGGGGGGTGATTGAAAGAGACAATGATACGGGGACTTCATGGATAAAGTAGGAGTGGGTAGACGATTAATGAGGTAAGAAGCGGTGGAAAAGGCAAATGACCAGTACGTGATTGGTAAATTTGCATGAGTGAGTAGAGATAAGCCGGTTTCGACAATGTGGAGATGCCGACGTTCGGCATAGCCATTGTGTTCAGGTGTGTGGGGGGGGGGGGTTGTGAGATGAGAAACCCCGTCAATGGTTAGAAAGGCTTGCAGGGCGTCATATTCACCCCCATTATCTGAATACAATATTTTAATGGGTTTGGAGAAAAATTTCTCGATTAGAGCCTTGTAACGAATAAAAACAGACTTAGTATCAGATTTATGTTTGAGAGGGTAGAACCAGATATACTTGGTGAAGTGATCTACAAATATGACATAGTATTTTAAGCCATCGAGGGAATAAACGGGAGATGTCCATAAATCTGTATAAATAATTTCTAGAGGTGCATGAGAGACTAGTGTAGACTGAGCAAACGATAATTTATGACTTTTATTACAATGACAAGCATTACAATTGAAGTTAAATGAACTAGAGAGATTAAGACGAAAATCCGAAACAATGTATTTGAAAGTAGAAAGGGAGGGATGGCCAAGTCTATGGTGCCAATTTATTGCCAGAGCTTTGGTGGTGGAAAGAGCTAAAATTGCCGAAGGGGAGGGCATTTCATAAATCCCATGCTTAACTGGACCCTTTAGGAGATGTGCCCCCGTGAGGCGATCCTTCAAAAGAAAAGAATCAGATGAGAATTCTATTAGAAGATTATTTTCAGAACATAAACGAGAAATGGAAATAATATTACGAGTCATATTAGGGGCACATAAAATATTGGATAAATTAATAGATTTGGAGGGGGAAAGAGGAAGAGAAAGAGAGTCAATATGAGTGATTGGAACACCTAAACCATTACCTATGACAACTTCTTCAGTTCCATCATACGGATGGTGAAGTGAAAGGGTAGACAAATCATGAGTAACATGGTAAGAAGCTCCTGTGTCTAAGAGCCAGGAAGGGGGCGTAGTGAAGGGGGAAGTAGTTGCGACATGGGCTTGAGGCGGAGGCGTAGAGCTAGGCAGTGGGGTTAACGTGGGTTTGGCGTCAGGATACATTTGATGAAAGGAGGGGCAACGATATAGGGAGTGACCAATTGTGTGACACCACTGACATTTTCCTTTGTAACCAGAGGGTTTGTCATTGGAGTAGGATTTGCGAGATGAAATGGTAGGATGAGGTGCATTGTAAGGCTTACGGTAATGGGTTGGAGTGTGTGTGGACTGATTGGAGGATTGGCGTGTGGTTGTTGCGTGAGCCGAGATAGGTAAGGGGGAGGTAGTGGAGGCATTGCGAAGACTGACCTCCTTAATAAGGAGTTTTTTGTGAAGTTCATCAAACGAGATGAGTGTATCTCGGTTGTTTGTGGCATCGATAACAGATTGGTATTCGGGATCCTGAAGGCCTTCCAAGACCTTTTCAATGAGATCATCAGGTTTACAAGGGTCACCTAAGACGGCCAATTGATCAACACAAACACGAATAACGTTCATGTATTCGGTTATGGTTTGGGTACCTTTGGTAATAGAACGGAGGTTAGTTTTCAGGAGCTTGGTATGACCACGAGTGTGACGGGCAAAGGTGTGTGCAAGAATATCCCAAGCCTCCTTGGTGGTGGTAGCACGGGATACTAGCGGAGAGATGGAGGTTTCTAAGGTAAATGTATTTAATTAATTAATAAAGTATGCTGTACAATATATTTATACACATAGCTAGCAACAGAGTACGTAAACTACACAAAGATAAACATGACTAAGATATAGCTATACACGCATAAATAGCAGAGGATAGAAGCAAGAGGCGTAGCTTATTCCTAGAATGTAGGCAGCAACTATATCATATTATGGAAGGATAATATCATATTATTTTGTTGGCTTGTGATCCTTATCAGGTAATTCGCCCAATCAGAGTCACACCACCCCTCCAGCTGCAAAGCACTATCTGATCTGAACAAGATCCCCTAACCTGGATTTTTCTTCAAATATCTGACATCCCTCAATGCGGCATCTCGATGCTCAACTCTCGGACTCTGCATAAATTATGATAAAATATGAACATAATAAGCCAAGTCAGGCCTAGTGACAGACAAATATATCTGACGCCCTATAAGACGTCGATACTTCTCCACATCAACGAAAAAAGCACCATCCGCAAGAGCCAACCTATGATTCTGCTCCATGGGCTAGTCTGTGGGTTTCGCATCAAGCAAACCTGTTTCTGTAATAATATCCAATGCATACTTTTTCCGACACATGAAAATCCCTGTTTGTTTCGGTCTACCTCTAGCCCCAAAGAATATTTTAGGACTCCCAAGTCTTTCATCTTAAAACAATTCCCCAAATATGCCTTAAAATTAATCATAGCAGACTTATCATTACCTGCAAGGCTGCAACAATTAAATCATCAACATAAACTAGCACATTTAACTGCATTTTCCCTTTCATCAGAGTGAATAGGGAATAGTCGGAGTATGATTGTTTAAAACCATAATTCTTCAATGCCGTTGCCAATTTAGCAAACTAACAACGAGGAGCTTGTTTCAAGCCATACAATGATTTCTTCATCCTGCACACTTTTCCAGAATTAATTTTGTCAAAGCCAGGGGGAAATTTTATGTATACCTCTTCCTCCAAATACCCATATAGAAATGCATTGTGAACATTCATTTGATGGACTTCCCAATTCTTCACTGCTGCGACTGCAAGGAATGTCCGAACTGTCATCATCTTTGCCACAGCAGCAAATGTCTCATTGTAGTCTAGAACTTCGACTTGATGATGGCCAAAAATCACTAGTCTAGCTTTCAATCTATGCAAGTTTCCATGCTCATCGTACTTCTCTTTATAGACCCACTTACTCCCGAGCGCCTTTTTGCCTGGTGGTAAATCTTCTAGCACCCACGTACCTTGTTCTTCGAGTGCTTGAATTTCATCGACCATTGCCTTTCTCCAACCTTCATGCTTCATAGCTTCTTTAAAAAATTTCGGCTCATTACCACCTGTAATTGCTGCAATGTATTTTCTATGTTTCACAGAACAACGGTGAGAATCAACAAAATGTGTTATGGGGTAAACAGGACTTGAGGAAGATGTCGCGGATGAACGTTGAGGCGTGGATGGACTTTTATTCTGAATAGTATGAGTCACATAATCACGAAGTTTGACGGAGGGAATTTTTGGTCGTTTCCCTTTACCCATGTCGCTAGCATTTTCAGTTTGTTCACGGTCTCCAAGCGCGTTCTGAGGCTGCTGCACATCCCCCTGGTTGATGCTGGTATGTGGGAAACCAGCACCTGGTGAAGAACCAGCGGACTAATCAGTCTCGCTAGCCTCGAATGCCGCTGCACCAGCGCGCGCTGGGGACTTGGTGAGTTGATCAGTGCTGCTGCCAGTCCCAACCACGGGCTGATCGTGGTGTTCTGCCTCTTGCCACGGGCTGCCCGTGACACCTACTTCCAGGTGTTTCTCTTCACTCCCCACATTCACATCCTCAAGCCGCCTATCTCCACTCTCTTCATCAATACTCCACTCATCATCACTCCCATCATCACACAAAGACTGCACATATTTAGAACTCCGAACCACACCAATAGCTAGAGTATTAAACGACAATTCATATTCCACAAAATTCACGTCACGAGATACAAAGCTCTCCTTAGTCTCCAAGTCATACACTCACCATCCTTTCTTCCCGAATGGATATCCCAAAAAAACATACTTTCAGCTTTTACTAGCGAATTTATCACTCTTACTTTGTTGATTGTGAGCATAACACAAGCACCCAAACACCTTTATCTATTCATACGAAGGTTGTTTTCCAAACAAAACCTCAAACGGAGTCTTAAATTCAAGCAATCTAGATGGAGTACAGTTTATCAAATGACAAGCCGTTTGCACACATTCCCCCTAAAATTTAAGTGGCAAATTTGCTTGAAATCTCAAAGCACGAGCCACATTTAGGATATGTTGATGCTTATGCTCTACACGCCCATTTTTTTGAGGCGTTTCAACTCCTCCCCGCAAGCGTTCTGCTTGAATAAGTTGTTGGTATGCCTTATCAACAGTTGGTAAGGGGTCTTGGGCCAAAAGTTGACCCCTGATCGAGCCATATGCACCATTAATTCTAATAAAAAAACGATGAACGAAGTCTTTTTTACGCAACCTTCCACTTGCGCCAGAATGTTACATTTACACGCACCACAAGAACAAGCAGGTACGTTAATGTAGGTGTTCAACTCACCCCATATTCTGGAAATTCGACCAAAGTATGTAGCTACAGTATCGGTTTTGGCTTGCTTGCATTCACCCAAAGACAGTTTCAATTGACAAATACGTGTTCCGCTAACTATGCATAAACGATTTTTAAGGTTATTCCACAATAATTGAGCATTATCTTATTCGCCAATGGTAGCCCTCATAGATGGGTCCAAGGTGTTAGTAATCCAAGCAATAACCAACATCGCATGAACGACCACCCAATCTTCTAATTTGTCATCATTCGTCGGCTTCTTAACAGATCCATCAATGAAGCCGTATTTGTGCTTAGCCTTTAACGAGGTCTGAATAGCCCTCGCCCACTCATCATAATTCTCACCCCGAAGTGGAATTAGAGTAATGATATTCCTAGAACCATCGCTTGATCCTAGGTGATAGGTCATGTCGATTTTAGGTTTTCCTCCATCACCACCTGAGCCACCGGTCATCTCTCAGAAACTCAAGCAAGGATTTTTTTTTTTTTATTTTTTTTTTTTTCAGAAACTCACAAAATACGTACACAAATTATGAAAATTAACGGACGAAAAAAAATTTAGATCTTAACTAGGCTCTTGATATTAGGGCTGTTCATCGGTCCAAGACCGGACCGTAGACCGAAAATTTGAATTTCAAGAATCGAAGACTGGACCGATTAAGCTAGGACTGAACCCGGACTGGACTGAAAAATTCGGTCTAAAACTCGAACCGGACCGGTTTGGACCAATTTTAGAATATTTATAAATTTTTTTCTAAATTTTAAATAATTTATGGAAAACTCAAAAAAATAAAGGAAAAACAATATTTTAACGTCTTTTTTTTGTATGTTTAGTACAAAAAACTCATACGACTAAAGTTTTCCAACCTTGTTAAGGATAATCTTAATCATTATTAAAGGTTTTATATGTAATTTTAATCAAAAAACCGGTTTGGTCCAAGCCCGATTTTTATAGGATTTTGGACTGAACCGAACCGAAGATCGGAAAAATAAAATTCTCGACCCAAAGACCGGACCGATTAATTTGGTCTGGGCCGGTCCATTTTTTCGGTCCGAACCAATTTTTGAACACCTCTACTTGATACCATGTTAAACTAATCAAAAACTCTGCATAATATTCACTATCATTTCTCCTTCCACTTCATGGCCACCATACAAGTATATATAACAATACGGTTGACATTACCCTACCATATTTTCACGTAAGATATTCCCCCAAAATATGTCACAATAATATTCTAGTATAATAATAATATGCTAGAATATCTCCAATATGTTCCCAACCAAGTTCAAACATGATTTAAATTTGTAAATTTACTACGTAATATACTTTCACCGCTCCAAATTAGTTGACACATTTCTTTTACGGAGTATCATATTTGCCAATGCAAATATCTTTAATTAACTATTATAAAAAAATATTAAAATTTGAATTTTAATAAAGTACACATTGAAATCAATCTAAGAAGATCCACACTAACTATGTGTTTTCACATTTATAAATTACAAATGTTAATCAAAGTAAAGTTTATGAATAGTGTCAAAAGTTAAAACGTGTAAACTATTTAGAACAGAGGAAGTAGTGTTCACTAACAAGTTCTGTGCTTTTAACACTTGACAATACAAAGTCAAGTGTAAAATTTGATAATTCTTGATCAATCCTTGCTTTCAGAAGGCTAATAACCAAGGACATATTTCTTGGCTGCAAAAGTGAGCTCCTACTATGCTATTCTGATTTTCGACTGACCCTTCCTGCCTCTGACCACCCGAAGGATGAGTTAGGTTGGTCCTATCAAAGGGGTTATGAAAGGGATTAACAAATGTGCTATCTAAGTTTGCGATTAACGACAATTAACAATAACGAAGACGGAAAAACAAGCAATAAACGAGATAAAGAGAATTTATTGTGGAAATCCCGAGAAACGGGAAAAAAAACCCACCAATCCACTATGAAGTAACAATTTGATGAAGAACAATGTGAATTACAAGCTTTCAATCACTATGAAAGCTCCCACCCCAAACTCACCCTCTCAAACACTCAAACCCTAAGTGTTTTGGGTTTTACATAAGGCTTTCTCTCTCGACATCTTTCCCTTCATTTTATTACTCCTAACAATGACAAACCAAGAGTATATATAGTGCAAAAGTACAAGGAAGATCAATAGCTAAGATTACATCTCGAGTGAAATAAAAAAAATCGTTTCACTGAAATAGGGGCTCGAAGGTTCGACCGAACCTACCCAGAGTTCGGTCGGAAGCTGGGGTGGTTTGGTCGAACTTCTTACTTGGTCCGACCGAACCTGATTTAGAAATCAAAGAGCTGCAGGGTCTGCCTCAAAAAACATGGTTTGACCGAACTTTTAAATAGTTCGATCGAACCCCTGCACTGCGCGGACATCTCTTCCTTAAACAGGCATA